GGTCTGATTTCCCTTCTCCCCTTCCTCTTGCACCAAGCAGGTCTGATTTCCCCTCTCCCTCTGCTCCTGCACCAAGCATGTCTCATTTCTCTTCTCCTGTACCAAGAAGTTGATTCCCCCTCTCCTGTTCCTCCTGCACCAAACAGGTCCAATTTCCCCCCTTCTCTCTCCCTGCTGCACCAAGCAGATGAGATTTCCCCTCTCCCCTTCCTCCAACCCCATCCTGAGCCCCAAAGAACCAGCCACCATTCCCAAGACTTCTGTCCCACTGAGCACTGACTGCATAAAGCAGAAGCAGCAATGCCACAGCCATTTCCCAACTGCTGCCAGCCAAGTTTTACACTGATCCAGGAGCCTTTTCCTAGGAAAAACAAGTCCTGCCCTCAGTGGGATGCTTTGCTGACAACACGAGGTTACACTTGCTCCACTTTTCTTGCTTAATTCTGGCAAAGGCTAAGCTGGGGCAGGAGGACAAGGAAATCTGACAAGAGTTCAGGCAGGGAAAAAAATCCCTAATTCCGTACGGGAAGTGCCCTCTAGTGTCCACCAAACCACGGGAAAAGCCAGGGAGAGGGAGGAGAGGGAGAGAGAGAGGTGTACCCTGTCGATGGAGCTGCCCTTCCTCTGGGCATAGGCTCCCCAGAGCATGAAGACGACCCCGTGCAAGTTGTTGTTGAGCCAGGAGATGACCACGTCGGTGAACTGCTCCCAACCTCTCTCCTTGTGGGACGTGGCCTGGTGAGCCCGCACGGTCAGCACAGCATTCAACAGCAGCACTCCTGCCAAACAGCACAGCACAGGGGATGAAACCCAAAAATCAGGCCTTAAACCAGCCCTGGAGGTGTGCCAGGCCAGCTTGGCTGGGGTTTGGAGCACCCTGGGCTGGTGGGAGGGGTCCCTACCCATGGAATAAATGATCTTCAAGGTCCCTCCCAACCCAAACCACTCTGTGATTCTATGACTTGCTCTGCACTGTCCTCACTGCAAATACTTGGGATAAAATGCTTCCAGGCTGCTTGTTTCACACAGGGATTGAGGGAGTTGTCTTCCCCATGAGGAAAACCCACAGCAGGAGGTAGAAGTGGTATAGAACTAACTGTATTTGATCATCATCATGTAAGTGATGTAAGCTCTAAAAAGCTAAGATAAAGTATTGTCCAGAGCAGCTGTGGCTGCTCCATCCCTGGGAGTGTTCCAGGCCAGGTTGGATGTGGCTTGGAGCAATCTGGGCTGGGGGGAGGTATCCCTGCCCATGGCAGGGGTGGAATGAGATGAGTTTTAAGGTCCTTCCAACCCAAACCATTCCAGGATTCTGTGATCCTAACTGCTTTTTCCTGCCAAGCAACAGGCACTCAGACTTTTCTCTCCTACAAATGGATCATTTCAACCACAGCTGTTCTAACCTGGCTTTTCCCTGCCCATCACAGAGTGTCTCAGCTCACCTTGCTTGGCCCATCCTGTCAGATCCCCATGGCCAGGGTGAGTGAAATCCTCAATATCCGTGGAAAGCTCTCTGTAAATGTTCTCCAAGCTGCAAACCAAACCACCAGAAGGTTTTTAACAGGAATATTTCAAGCCAAGAGCAAACAGCAGCACCTACTGCCCTCACACCAGGCAAGGAGATATTGATTTTAATCTTATTACTTCAAATAAAAAGCATTTGTGAGGCACAGCAGCAAATCACATCCCTCTGTGTGCCTGGTTGGAAGCTTAATGAGGTGTCTCAGCAGGACTGGAAATGCAAGTTTACACTAGGATATCCCCAAATTACATAGAATTATCCATATTTTGCAGTGGTTTTTTTCCAGGTGATGCACAACTTAGGTTTAATAGTCACAATATACCTCACATCAATTTTCTGGCTCCTGAGCAACACAGAGCTGCAAATCCTTTGAGAATAAAGGGGATTTGGCAGGTTGTCATACCTGGGGGGAGGAGGGACAGGTTTCTGGACACTGAAGCAGAGCCCATGAGCTTGGTTGGGTCCATGGTATGGATCTTGGCCCAGAATCACAACCTTTACCTGAGAACACACCTTGGTTAGCACTGAATCAGCATCACTCCCAAAAGGGGGAGGAAAGGCTTATAAATGAGTTTTATCCTAAAACAAGAGACACAAAAAGCTCCAAACCAACCCCAACCCCATCAGGAACTGAAGTTAAATCCCAAACATCTCACTATTACCAAGCTAAAGAACACAGAGCTCATAAAACACCAAGGATTAACATCACCACATTTGCTGCTGAGATGAAGAATATAACTAATATCATTCAGAGCCACAATAAAATACCTTGCTAAGGTATTTTCCAAGCAGGTTTCAAGCTTTATGCCATCTTTGCTGTGATTTTTTTGGCTGTTTATTAGTAGTGATATTACCTTTGGCTAGTTTATTGTATTTTAATTCACTACAGACCAATTAAAAGAACAACAAATTTGTTTTTTTAGAGAACAAAAGATGCAAAAACTAAGCACCAGATTAAGCTGGCAACACTACAAAGAAAATCAAAAGTCCAATCACACTTTTCAAAGAGGCCACTGAGGGCAATAAAACAATACACCCATGTTTTGATATCAGAGATGAAAGGGACAACAGGATTTATGAGTTCAGTGAGACAGACAACAACATCCACATCCCACAGGGCTGAAACTTCAGGGACCAAAACACCCAACAAACTTATCTGTGCACCCAACCTGCACCTCCACGGGTCTAAACCCCCCAGGGCAGCTGTGATATCTCCATGCCCCTGCCCAGCCCCTGCAGCTCCACTCACATCCCTGATGTCACACATCTGTGTCCAGGTGAAGACCTGCTCGGGGGGTGGGTACACCTTGTAGCATTCCCTCTCCTTTGCCACGAACTTCATCAGCTGAGAGGAGAAAGAAGGGGGAAACGGGGAGACAAGGGGATGAGGGAGGGAAGGAGGG